CTAGGATTACAGGCGCTAGGATTACAGGCGCTAGGATTACAGGCATGAGCTACTGGCGCCCGGCTTCTAGAGAGCTAGCTTTTTGCTAAAGAGCTTGGGGACAGGACTCAGGTGCTGAGATCAAGCCCCAGAACTGACACAAAAATAAAAAATCCAAGCAAGTATGTTATCAAATACTACATCTATCGTGTATGTTCATACATATATATGTATATAATTTTATTGTGTGTGTATATATGTGTATGTTGGTTTTGAGGCTTGAATTCAGTGCCTGGGTGCTGTAACTGAGCTTTTGTGCTCAAGGATAGCGCTTTATCTCTTGGGCTAGAATTCTACTTCCAGAATTTCTTGGTAGTTAACTGGAGATAAGAATCTCATGGACTTTCCTGCCTAGGCTGGTTTGGAACTGATATCCTCAGATCTCAGCCTTCTGAGTAGCTAGGATTACAGGTGTGAGCCACTTGTGGCCAGCTTATTGTATATTTTTCATGTACCTTAATGAGTGAATTTATTGAGGCAAACCTCCTCTAATTTTATTATGTTATATTAGCATAAACTGGAAATTTTCCCATAGGATACTTTTTTCTACCAGGGTAGAGTCTGTATAATCACCTAGGATCACGTGACTTTTAACAATTAAAAAAAAACATTTGGCCATTTTGTGTTATATTCAAAACAATATATTTTCCAAAAAATAAGTTATCCATATATAAAAATTATACTGCATGTTCTCCACATACTTAAGTTTTTAAATACCCTCTAATATATATATATATATATATATCACTTATAATAATAATGCATCCTGGTATTCCATAACTGATGAAGTAAAAAAATCCTATCCTAAATAAAGATTATGAATTCTGATAATGGATGTATCATGCTCCGATCAAAAGGTCTACTAATATTACACTTCTTGGATTTCTCAAGGAAAAACTAACAAGGAAGGAACTGGGCCAGGCACCAGCAGTTAACACTAATAATCCTAGCTACTCAGGAAGCTGAGATCTGAGCATCTCGGCTGAAAGCCATGAAGCAGGGAAATCTGAGACTCTCATCTCCAATTAACCACCAGAAAACCAGAAGTGAAGCTGTGGGTAAAAGTTATAGAGCACTAGCCTTGAACAAAACAGCTCAGAGACAGTATCCAGGCTCTGAGTTCAAGCCCCATCACCAAATTAAAAAAAGAAGGAATTAACATCAAAGAATGAGTCATGAATAAACACTTCCCTATATTTCATAAGATTTCACAATATTGAAACTACATGACACCTTAAATCTTTATATTCATAGGATTTCCAAAAGCATAAATATTCTGAAGGCTGGAAATATAACTTAGGGGTGGCACTCTTGCTTAGCTTATATGCAAAGCCTTTGGTTTGCTCACTAGCACCTCCAGAAAACAAAAATGTATAACGAAGTATAATATCCAGGGTGTAAGCAGTTTTCTATAATGAAAGATGTTCCCATAGCCTGCTTATTCACCATTGTGATTTTTTTTTCCCTCAGTAAATCATGAACAGTCACGGGTCGGCATCAGTAGGAAGCCTTTTCTACATCATGTAAGCTTGGGTTTCAGACAAAGGGTTTCTCAAATTCATTACCAAGAGCTCCCTGCTGACATACATCTCTAATGTCGAGTAAGTTGTGAACCCCAGAGAAAAGCTTTTCCCCAATCTTCACATTCATAGGGTCTCTTTCCAGTATGCGTTTTCTCATGTTGATCTAGCTCGGACCTATGACCAAAGGTTTTTCCACATTCCTTGCATGCATTCATTCTCTCACTCTTATGAATCTTCTGATGCCGATTAAAGTCTGAGCCCTGAAGAAAGGTCTTGCCACACTCCTTACACTCATAGAGTTTCTTCTCATGAACTTTCTCATGTTGAGCCAGATATGAAGCCCAAATGAATGTCTTCCCACAGTGCTTACACTCGTAAGGTTTTCTTCCTGTATGACTTCGCTGATGGCGAGCAAGGTTTGAGCTCCAGATATAGGCTTTCCCACATTTCTCACACTCATAGGGCTTCCGACCAACATGGGCATTCTGATGGTCAGAAACACCAGAACCATGGATACAGGCTTTCCCACACTCTTTGCACTCATGCAACTTCTCGCCATCATGAATTTTCTGATGTTCACTTAGATGTGAACCACGTGTAAAAGCTTTCCCGCACTCCTTACACTCGTAAGGTTTCTCACCTGTGTGAATTCTCTGGTGGTTAGTAAGATGTGCTCGCTGAACAAAGGCCCTGCTACATTCGGTACATTCATAGGGCTTTTCGCCAGTGTGGATTCTCTGATGTTCTGTCAGGTATGAGCCACGGGTAAACGCTTTTCCACACTCCTTACACTGGTAAGGTTTTTCACCAGTGTGAATTCTCTGATGGCCAATAAGGTCAGCTTTCCGGCTATAGGCTTTCCCGCACTGTTTACATTCATAGGGCTTTTCGCCAGTGTGAGACCGCTGATGTTGAGTAAGGTCAGAGTCCAGACTAAAGGCTTTCCCACATTCCTTACATTTATGATGTTTCTCCTCGCTGTGAATTCTCTTGGGACCAGGAACACCTGAAAAGAAACTCAATGTCGTGTCACATTCTTTATTTTTGTATGTTTTCTTACCAGTGTGAACTGTCCGATGTTGACTGTGGTCTGAGGCAGAATTAAAGGTTCTGTCACATTTAAATTCATTCGGTCCCTCTTCTGCATTGAGTTGCTGGTGCTGGTTATAAGCTTCGTTCAGATTTGAAGTCGACACCTTTTCACAGGTGACAGTGGATGACTTGAAATATTTCTGATGATTTTCGTGCTGTCTGTGAAGCTGATTTAATTCTGCACCATCACCTCTAAAACATAAACCTCTCAGGCTATGGTTTCTACAAATTTCTAGGACTTCCCACTGGCACACTTCTGTATCAGAAGCGCTATTTTTTTGAAATAACTTCTTGGTCTGCCCTATGAGATGAAAAGCAAGAATGTTAATATATAAAATATATATGGTTTTACTGTCCACATGAAATAAGATTCTTACACTTTCATTGTAAGGTAAAGCACATAAGTCAGTGGTTCAAAATTCCCAAGTTCCATGTAACAGGGAAAAAAGGGCAAGAAACAGAAATTTAAGACACCTAATTAGAGTTGAGTCATGGGGCTGGGAATGTGACTTAGTGGTAGAGCTCTTGCCTAACATCCATGAAGCCCTGGGTTCAATTCCTCAGTACCACAAAAAAAGATAAAGCTGAGGGGCTGGGAAGGTGGCTCAGTGGCAGAGTGCTTGCCTTGCATGCATGAGGCCCTGGGTTCGATTCCTTAGCACCACATAAGCAGAAAAAGCTGGAAGTGGCACGTTGGCTTAAGTGGTAGGGTGCTAGCCTTGAGCTGAAGAGCTGAGGGACAGTGTTCAGGCCCAGAGTTCAGGCCCCATGACCTACCAAAAGAAAAAAAAAAAGATAAAGCTGGAAGTGGGGCTGTGGCTCAAAGTAGTAGAGCATTAGCCTTGAGCAAAAGAAGCTCAGGGATAGTGTCCAGGACCTGAGTTCAAGTCTCAGGACTGGCAAAAAAAAAAAAAGAGTTGAGTCATAAGAGGGACAGAAAATTGTTTTAAAAAAATATCCAGGTATGAAGTGGCACTGTAGCTCAAGTGGTAGAGTGCTCGCCTTGAGCTGAAGAGCTGAGGGACAGTGCCCAAGCACAGAATTCAAGCCCCACGACTGACCAAAAAAAAAGACACTTACAGCCAGGTGCTGGTGGCTCTAGCCTGTAATCCTAGCTACTCAGGAGCTAAGATCTAAGGATTGTGGTGTAAAGCCAGCTTGGGCAGGAAAGTCTGCAGGAAAGTCCGTGAGATTTTTTTTTTTTTTTTCTGGTCGTGGGGCTTGAACTTTGGGCCTGGGCACTGTTCCTCAGCTCTTCAGTTCAAGGATAGCACTCTACCACTTGAGCTACAGCACCACTTCTGGCTTTTTCTGCTTCTGTGGTGCTGAGGAATCGAACCCAGGGCCTCATGCATGCAAGGCAAGTATTTTACCACTGAGCCACCTTCCCAGCCCCACCTATGAGATTCTTTTTTTTTTGGTCCCGTCATGGGGCCTGAACTCTGGGCCTGGGCGCTGTCCCTCAGCTCTTCAGCTCAAGGATAGCACTCTACCACTTGAGCTACAGCACCACTTCTGGCTTTTTCTGCTTTGTGGTGCTGAGGAATCGAACCCAGGGCCTCATGCATGCAAGGCAAGCACTCTACCACTGAGCCAACTTCCCAGCCCACCCATGAGATTCTTTTTTTTTTTTTTTTTTTGTCGGTCGTGGGGCTTGAACTCTGGGCCTGGGCGCTGTCCCTCAGCTCTTTAGCTCAAGGCGAGCGCTCTACCACTTGAGCTACAGCGCCACTTCCGGTTTTCTGGTGGTTTATTGGAGATAGGAGTCTCATGGTCTCTCCTGCCCGGGCTGGCTTTGAACCTCGATCCTCAGATCTCAGCCTCCTGAGTAGCTAGGATTACAGGCGTGAGCCACCAGCGCCCGGCTACCCATGAGATTCTTATCTCCAATGAACCACCAGAAAACCAGATGTGGAGCTGTGGCTCAAAATGATAGAATGCTAGCTTTGAGTTTAAAGAGCTCAGGAACAGTACCCAGGCCAGAAGTTCAAGCTCCATGACCACTACCAACAACAAAAAGAATGTCACTTATCTTTCTTTAATGTGAGGGGCAATAGGAGCACAAAAAAGCAGTGGTATCTGGAGTGCAGGCAGACTTCTCTTGAAAAGACTTAGAGACATCTCAAGCAAAGCTTTATTGCTTTATCTAAGTCCTTTGGCCAGTGAGAAGATATTCTAGACTGTTCATTCAGAGACTGCAGCTTCACCAAGCACTAGACTTCTATCTGTAATGAAGGCTACCCTATCCCTCAGCCTCACCTGGGTAAAGTCTTCTTGTCTCATCACTCAAATCCAACCAGGGGTCTTGACCATTCTCCAATAAGGAGAACACATGTGGTTGATAAATATAAAGTCCTGCTCAAAAGATTAAAAATAGGAAATAAACACATGGGCAAGGATTCCAAAGTTTGCCTCTAGTCCCTTGTTTAAGGAAGAGAGACAATAGCTAGACGGGCAAGAAAACAAGATACAGGATTTCTAAAGGATGGAGCGGTCCCCAGTGATGACCACTATTGCTAACTTTACAAAACACACTGTCCAGAAACCCCTACACACATCTGAAAAATAATCCAGTAATTGACAGTACAAAATGCAAGCATTTGCAGAGTTTAAATCTGTTCTTACCCACTGAGACAAGGTTGCTGTAGTTCTCAGACATCACATCTGTATATAAGTTTCTCTGCTCTGGGTTCAGGTACTCCCACTCCTCCTGAGAAAAATCTATGGCCACATCTCTGAACGTCATCACTTGCTAAAATGAAAAACACCAATGTGAATGGTGAATGGTAAATTTTAAAGAAATTTTTTTCTTTTTAAAAATTTTCTTCTTCACAATATCTGCAGCCAAATTTATCCCCAGGCCCCAAGGTAAGAGACCCAGGGCCCATGAGCGGCAAGCTTGCTTTAGCAGTCATCTGGGCCAGCCCCCACCATGGCCGGATGGAAGTTGAATTTGACCTGACTGCATCAAGAAATTCTTTAGGCCAGACACCAGTGGCTCACACCTGTAATCCTAGCTACTCAGGAGGCTGAAATCTGAAGATCACAGTTCAAAGCCAGCCCAGCAGGAAAGTCCATGAGACTTTTTTTCCCAATAAACCTCCAGAAAACCAGAAGTCGTACTGTGGCTCCAGTGGTAGAGTGTTAGACTTAAGCAGAAGACTTTAGGGACAGCGCCCAGGCCCAGAGTTCAAGCCCCATGACTGATTTAAAAAAAAAAAAAAGGAAAAAAAAATTAAAAACTCGAGTTGGTAGTCTATGATAAGGGAGGAAATGACTTAGAAATATGTGTGACTAATAGCCAGGATATGGAAACAACCTAGATGAACCACCACAAATGAATGGATCCAAAAATTGTGGCATCTATACACAATGGAATATTATGCAGCCATTAGAAAGGACAAAATAATGGCACTTGCAGGGAAATGGATGGAGCTAGAAGAAATCATGTTGAGCGACGTAAGCCAAGAGCAAAGAGACAGACGGCACGTGGTATCCCTGATAAATGGATGCTAAATCCAAAATGTAAGGTGATCCGACAAAATTAACAAGACTTAAGAAACAAAGGACTTCCACTCATCTGGTTGAATCACTACTAAATAACCCCATGCTGCTGATCACATATATGGTATATATATATGCACACTGGAGGGAAACCAGAAGGATGACACAGAACTAGAGGGAATCAGGGAAAAACATACAACAGTGGAACCCATCAGCTGCACTGGACATTGATCAAAATGAACTAAGCAACTCAACGGCAGCGATGGGAGGGAGGGAACAAGTGGGAAAGAGGGAACAGCTGATGCTATGCAAAACAAACGAAACGTACATACCACCCAATGTGGAAGAAATAACTGTATTGCAAAGCTCATAGAACTCATGTTATAGACCATGATAGACAATTTGCTCCATGAAAGTTAAAATGTGTTTGTAACTTTAAGCATCACTATCCCACAATACTATGAAATTTGGGAATTTTTATGTAACCTCTTAATCACAATAAAAATTTTTGAAAAAAAAAAAAAGAAGTATGTGTGACTCATGCAGAAAACTAAAAGTGGACCTCAGCCTGTCTCCATCCACAAACATCAACTCAAAATTGATTAAAGACCCTTAACATCAAACCTGAAACTCTGCAGGACAGAGTAGGAGAGACATTTGAACTTATTATTTATTTATTTTTTTTGGGTCCAGTCGTGGGGCTTGAACTCTGGGCCTGGGCGCTGTCCCTGAGCTCTTCAGTTCAAGGCTAGCACTCTACCACTTGAGCCACAGCGCCACTTCCAGCTTTTTCTTTTTTCTTATGTGATGCTGAGGAATCGAACCCAGGACCTCAGGCATGCAAGGCAAGCGCTCTACCACTGAGCTACCTTCCCAGCCCAACATTTGAACTTATAGGCACAGGCAGGAACTTCCTGAACAGAGTTGCAGGGTAACAACAAACTGTAGAGAGACTTGACAAATGGGACTAACTTAAAATAAAAAGTTTCTGTAAGGGCTGGGGAAGATGGCTTAGTGGTAGAGTGCTTGTCTTGCATGCCTGAGGCCCTGGGTTCAATTCCTTGGTACCACATAAGCAGAAAAAGTCGGAAGTAAGCTGTAGCTCAAGTGGTAGAGTGCTAGCCTTGAGCTGAAGAGTTAAGGGACAGCGCCCAGGCCCAAAGTTCAAGCCCCATGACCAGCAATTAAAAAAAAAAGTTTCTGTACATCTAAAGACATAGCTACCAAACTAGAAAGACAGCCAACCAATTGAGAAAAAATATTTACCAGCAATATATCAGACAAAAGCCTAATATATATTATATCCAAGGAACTGAAGAAACCAATCCCTCCCAAATCTAACAAACCAATCATTAAATGGGAAAGAGAACTAAAGAGACTTCTCAGAAGAAGAGATAACAATGGCAAAGAGGGGCTGGGAAGGTGGCTCAATGGTAGAATGATTGCCTTGCATGCATGAGGCCCTAGGTTCAATTCCTCAGCACCACAGAAGCAGAAAAAGCCGGAAGTAGTGCTGTGGCTCAAGTGGTAGAATGCTAGCCTTGAGCTGAAGAGCTGAGGGACAGTGCCCAGGCCCAGAGTTCAGGCCTCATGACTAACCAAAAAAAAAAGGCAAAGAAACACATGAGGAAATGTTCATCATCCCTGGCAGTAAAGGAAATGCAAATACAAACAAATCTGAGATATCACCTTAACCCAGACAGAATGGCCCATATCCTAAATTCAGTCAACATAAATGCTGGCATGACTGGGGACAAAGAGGAACCCTAGGGGCTGGGAAGGTGGCTCAGTGGTAGAGCACTTGCCTTGCATGCCTGAGGCCCTGGGTTCGATTCCTCAGCACCACATAATCAAAGAGAAAAAAGCCGGAAGTGGTGCTGTGGCTCAAGTGGTAGTGCGCTAGCCTTGAACTGAAGACCTGAGGGACAGCGCCCAGGCCCAGAGTTCAGGCCCCACGACCGGACCCCTCACCAAATAAAGAGGAACCCTATTGCACTGCTGGTGGGAATGTAAACTAATACAACCACTTTGGAAAGCAGTCTGGAGGTACCTCAGAGAGCTAAATATGGACTTCCCCTACAACCTAGCTATACCATTCTTGCCAGGAGAGGAACCAGGATGCAAGGACACATGTACCTCCATGTTCAATGCTGCACTGTTTACAATAGCAAACATATGGAAACAACCTAGATGCTACACTACAGATGATTGGATCCAAAAATTGTGGTCCTATATACAATGGAATATTATGCAGCCATTAGAAAGGACAAAATAATGGCATTCACAGGAAAATGGATGGAACTAGAGCGAATCATTTTGAGCAAGGTAAACCAAGAGCAAAGAGACAAACAGCACATAGTCTCCCTGATATGTGACTGTTAAATTCAAAGTACAAGGAGATATGACAAAGTAAGTTAGACTCACGAAACAAAAGACCTCTACTTAATTTGTCATATTCCTAAAGGACTCCATGTTTTTGACCTCATATATGGTATATATATGTGCATATCTGAAGGAAGCTAGGAGGAGGGCACAGAATCAGAGGGAAACAGGAAAATATACAACAGAGGGGCCCATCAGCTGCACTGGACATTGATGAAAATGAACTAAGCAACTCAAGTGCAGTGATGGGAGGGAGGGAATGAGAGGGAAAGAGGGAACAGCTTACACTAAGCAAAAGGAAAGAAATGTACATATCACCCGATGTGGAAGAAATAGCTTTTAATTTTTATTTTTTGGTCGGTTGTGGGACTTGAACTCTAGGCCTGGGTACTGTCCCTGAGCTCTTCAGCTCAAGGCTAGCACTCTACCGTTTGAGCCACAGCACCACTTCTAGCCATTTCTGTTTATGTGGTGCTGAGGGATCAAATGCAGGGCCTCATGCCTGCGAGGCAAGCACTCTACCGCTGAGCCACCTTCCCAGCCCCATAGAAGAAATAGTTGTATTGTCAAAGCTTATAGAATTCATAAACTTTATAGACTATGATAATGACAATTTGCCTTGTGCAGGTTAAAATGTATTTGTGACTTTAAGTACCACTATTCCACAATACTGTGAAATTTGTGAAATTTATGTAAGCACAATCTCAGTAAAAAAAAAAATTTTTTTTTTTTTGGTTGGTCATGGGGTTGGAACTCTGGGCCTGGGCGCTGTCCCTCAGCTCTTCAGCTCAAGGCTAG